TGGAGGCGGAGTGAGTAAACGGGGGAGGGAGAGCTCCTTCGTCATCTGCCATTTAGAGATCCGATAAGCGATGAGATGCGTGGTCGAATCTGAATCGACCCCTTTTGCCCCTCAGCGTCCCCGCGGAGAGATGATTGACGGCAGCGGGGTCGGTGGTTCGGCTTATCAGCTTCGGGAGGGGCAGCCGAAGGGCGGAGCTCCGCTCTGGCGGGCGACGGGCGTCACTGGTGTAAATACCTTCGGTATGTGTTAGCATCATCCTTGGTCTAATTGGTCTGAGTGATCTTCGGCATTGTAAGTCCGGTGCTTTTCATTCAGAGGAACTCAACCGCATAGCGATTTCGGACGTGAAGATGGGATTATTCTTTGACAATGTAATGTGATCATTATGAGCTATGCTAATGGTGCTACATTGTGGCTGATACACGATCATTGTACACTCCGAACCGTCTCATCAAGAGCCTTTGCAAAGTACTCTACATTCTTCTCATTCAAACCCGCAATTGAAATTCGTGATGTGTCGGCCATGTAAACGTGGTATTTCTCTGTAGATCAAACGTTAGTAACTCGTAAAATAGACTGATACTTTCTGGACGGGAATGACAAACCTTCAAGGTGCTGAACCTGCGTCTTGGTGATACCAGTATACCCAAACATGCCGCTCTGCTTCACGATATGCGACCAATCGCCCGGCGTCTGCAGCCGCACAAGCTCATCGTAAACCTTCTTCCGCATGGCGCGGATACGGCCCGACATGGTAACCAGGTCTTTAGCCCACTGCTCCTTGACATCCGGCGTCCCCAGCACCGCAGCCGCGATGCGCGCGCCGTACGCAGGCGGATTCGACACCGTCGCCCTCTGCACGTTCTCCAGAATCGAGTTGACCGTCTTGGTCCTCTCTGCCGTGTCGGCCACAAACGTGACGGCGCCGACGCGCTCGCCATACAGACCCATGTTCTTAGCAAACGACATGCACACGGCGGCCTCGAGACCGAGCTCGTCGACGAAATAGCGAATCGCCCAGGCGTCGTCGTCGACGGAGCCCGAGTTGAAGCCGAGGTAGGCCGAGTCGAAGACGGGGAAGATGTTCCTCTCGATAATGGCCGAGGCGATCTGCTTCCACTGCTCTTGCGAGGGGTCGCAGCCCGTGGGGTTGTGGGCGCAGGCGTGCAGGATGACGGCCGAGGTGGCCGGGTCGGCGGCCTTGAGGGTCGAGATGTAGCCGTCAAAGTCGAAGGCGCGGTCTTTGTAGTAGGGCAGGTGCTTCACCTCGAAGCCGAGGGAGGCGAAGAGGAGTTCGTGGTTGGACCATGTCGGGTCGGTGATGTAGATTGTCTTGATGTGGGCGGCGGCCTTCTTCAGGGCGAGGCCGGCGAGGAGGAGGGCGCCTGTTCCGGAGAGCGATTGGCATGATGCGACCTGTGAAGTTGGTCAGTTAAGATAATTTTAAAGAGCCTGATGCAAGCACTTACACGGTTCTCTGCAAATGCCTTTGTGGAGCTGAAAACGAGCTTGACGGCTTCATCGCGGAAGGGCTTGAACCCTGCGATAGGGAGATACTCATGCCCAGGCTCTCCAAGGGATGCTTCTGCCAATCTCACAGACGGCAAGATCCACGGTTGACCATTCTCATCGCGATAGGTACCTTGGCCGAGGTTGACTTTGTTCGGATCCGTGTCAGCGACGTACCGCCTGGTGACATCGAAGATGGCGTCGGGCGGGATGAACTCTGCTTGCTCAAAAGCTGACGTTTGCTGCTTGACTGACCCCATTGTAACTATTTGTCTGAATTGCTGTGAAAGTTCGAATATGTGAAACTACAATTCTCTCATTGAGAGACGAAAGGTCGCCATGGCGAGGTATGAGTAGTAGACCAGGGATCTCGGGACCCCAGCCGACTCGGAGTTGGAACCCGGTCAAGGGTCCGGCACCGGCCTGAGTCGAGCTCGGATGAGGGGCCCGCGGGGTCGCAGTCCACTTTGATGGAGTGCTCCATCTTGAGATTATCAAATGCTCCGAAACTTACGGGTCAAGACCGAAGCATGTCATTTCGGCGGAGGGACGATATGGGGATGAACGGGCCAAATAAGAGTAGCTAGCAATCCCTCTCATGAGGGATTTCGTAGGTGTTGTGGATTGATATTGTTAAGATTATTTTATTTCACTGCATACAGTACCTCAGACCAGACAAAATGGCCCCTCGTGCACCCCCTCGCGGCATCTACGCCCCCGTCGTGGCCTTCTTCCACGAAGACGAGACTCTCGATATCGAAGCGTTGAAGACTCACATTACGCGACTCGCCAAGTCGGGCGTGGCCGGCCTGGTCATCCAGGGATCCAACGGAGAGGCGCCGCATCTGCTCCACTCGGAGAGGCAACAGGTCATCGCGACGGCGGCCGAGGTGCTCAAGCAACACGGAAAGCCCGAGGCCGTCATCATCGCCGGCTGCGGCGCGCAGAGCACACGGGAAACGATCCAGCTCTGCACCGAAGCCAAGGAGTCGGGGGCGGACTACGCTCTCGTCCTGTCACCGAGTTACTGGAGTGAGTTGGCTTGGGCCACTAAGCCGTCAAAGATGAAGCTCCAGATCTGCCAGCATACTGACACGCTTTGCGCATGACTTTAGCCGGCGCGATGCAAAAGCCCGTGATCCAAAAGTTCTTTGACGATGTCGCAACAGCATCGCCCATCCCCATCCTCCTGTACAACTTCCCCGCCGTGACATCGGGCATCGACCTCGACTCAGACCTCATCGCCGACCTGGCGGCCTCAAACCCCAAAGTCGTGGGCTGCAAGCTCACCTGCGGCAACCTGGGCAAGCTGCACCGCGTAGCGCACGACGAGCGCATCCCTCAGCCTTTCGCCGCGTTCGCGGGCAAGTCGGACTTTTTCCTGCACGGGCTTGTGGCGGGCTCCAACGGCGTCATCGCGGCGGCGGCCAACTTCACGCCCAAAGTGCACGTCAAGCTGCTGGAGCTGTACGATGCCGGCAAGCTCAAGGAGGCGACCGAGCTGCAGACGAAGCTGAGCCGGGCGGACTGGGTGCTGGTGCAGCTGGGTGTCGCCGGGTTGAAGGCTGCGCTGGATAGGTATTTCGGGTATGGTGGTGGACGCAGCAGGCGGCCGCTTGGCCTCGTTGCGAGCGCCAAGTTCGAGGGAGAAAAGGATGCGGTGCTCAAGGACTTGGTAGATTTGGAGAGCTCACTGTGAACCTCCAGCTGGACATGATGGGAACTGATGAGAAGTAGATAAGATAAAGATAAGATAAGATAATACCACTTTCATGATAAGATCAGCATCTTGTGGCGACAGCTGGCACAGGCTGCGTCACCAGCTGCTACCGGTCGTCCGATCAATCACCAGTTGAGTTCCCGGTCTTCTTCTCTTTCGTCTTCACTTCACACTTTTTCCGTCGCTCATCTCGACCTCTTGACTTGCCTTACGTACTCGCGCTCCGTTTGCTCCTCGAAGCCACTTGCTTCACCGCAGATCTCGACTCGATCCGTTCTTTGCTGGATGTCTAAGATTCGAACTTTTAGCCCGCGACGCCCGGCTGGACTAAGGTGCCTCAAGAGACTTTAAGCTTACTGGACCAACTCCAAAGAGTTCCTTATCCGTCCCTTGTCGACGAGGGCATGTGAACACTTTGGTGTAAGCCCATTGGACAGACTCGACCGGGGGTGGCTGATAGCACGAACTGGTGCTGGAAGCTAAACAGCACTCCAATGTCCATCGCCTGCTCCCAGCCACCCCAGATACTTTCTTCATCTTCACATTTCCAGACTAAGCAGAACGGATCACTGATGTGGACTGTTCTAGTTGTCCGCGGCATCTAGACCCAGGTTGTCGGGTCATAGCCATACTCTTCTACCCAGAGCCCCAGCTGTCTTGGCTACCTTGTGTTGGTCGACAAATTACAGATCATCGTCGAGAAAAACCCAAGACATGTCGTGAGCAAGGCAATCAACAGTCATGTCAGACAGTCTCAATTCAGCCCAATTCCCCCGCCTGATCGTCGCTACCGTACGTTAAAAACGGCCGCTGCAACCAGCTTCTTCTGGCCGATGCAGCCGATTGCGGCATCCCATCGCTCCCTCTCACCATTTTTCTTCTAAGCGCCAAATGCATGAGTGGCTTGCTCCATCATTGGCCGGAGCTATCGAGGATAGCTGATAACGTAGCTTGGAGCTCAATCGCGCCATGCAGTCACCCCGCACCTTGGCCTCTTGAGTTCGGCCCTCCGTTCACAACTCACAGACACACACACACACACTCTCTCTCTCTCTCTGTCTCTCACCTTATCACCTCGACAGCCTCCAACTTCCTTCACCTCTCCCTTATTTGGACAACTCACTTGGCTCGGCTTACTTGAAGGTCAGCCATGTGCCGCCATCTCCACTCTGCTAGCATGCAGACACTGTAGATCCTTGCTGCGCTTCCCACGCCATCCCGCGTCGGCCCCATCCGTCACCACCGCCATCGTCGACCACCCATCTGTTGGAGTTGCAACGGTAGTCAAAGAAGGACAGTGCCGCCCGTCTGCCATGTCCGGCTTTATACCCTGACTCGCTCTGTCGCTCTGGGCCTCAACCACGTCATGTACTGCCTACATTACCCCTCCGAGACAAGCGTCCTCTGGGGGAAGGAAAGACACTCGATGGCTTATCGAGGCGACATGCGGTGAGAAGCTGTCACTCATGTTCCCCTCTGAGGTGAAGATGGTGTAAGCCCAGCTAGCTTCCCGCCGCCGCCTTGCTGCATGCGAGCCTTGCATGCTCCGGTCCTTCCAAGCTCTCCTCTGCCTCTGAACTGGTGGTCTGGCTTTGTTCTTTTAAGCCGAGCTCTCCCCTCCATCCTCTTTATCGAGTAGCCGTTCGTCTGTATGTGATTGATCTCTCCGTTGTCTTGAGCTTCCTGTTACCTGTGTAAAGCCGTGCTGCAAGTTCAGCCACCCAAATCTCGCAACCGTATGATACACAACCCAGGCCTCTCGCCCGCCATGTCTACCCTATCTTTGATTGTCTTCATTGGGACCCTGATCGCAACGACTTCGGCCGCGCCCTCGACCCCTTCAGTATGGGCGTCCGTCGCAATGGTCATGCACGGTGAGCGCACGCCGGTGCGCAGCGGGCTCCAAGATACCCTGACTCCCTTGGGTGCTCAGGAAATGTACGCCCAGGGAAGCGCTTTCAGAAGTCGTTACCTGGCCAGCGGAACGCCCACCAACACCTCCGAGGGTCGCATCACGACCCGTGCCGCGATCAAGGGAATTGCGCGGAACGTGTATGAGCATGAGCAGCTCTCGATCCTCTCTCTCCCTGATGCCCACATCGCCGCCGGCGCTGCTGCCTTCATGCAGGGTCTCTACCCGCCCATCACCCAGGCCTTCGCGGCCGATACTGGCGGGACCAATATCTCGTACTCGACAATCTCTGGAAACACCACGCAGTATCCTCTGGGTGGCTACCAATACCCAATCATTGAGACGCTGGGACTGTCTGACGATAGGTCGATTGAGTAAGTTCCAGTTTACCGCAAATCATGACGCTCCTCGAGGACTGAACTGACTTTCACTCGGCAAGTGTTCGGGGCAATACCGAATGTCCGCAGTGGAAGATCTCGACAACGTATGTCATGCAGCTCGACCCGTACATGCAGACCCTCGAGCAGGCGTCCCGCCCCGGTTACACATCCCTCTTCAACACGCCGCCACTAAACGACGGAGACATCTCGCTCGCGCACGTGAACTTCTGGAACGCCTACGACATCTACGACTACGTCCGCTACCGCTACTCCCACGAGCAGGCCGTCTACGACGGTCTCCAAGACGGGTATGCGCAACGCATCGAGTTCCTCGAAATGTACGCCCGCCTCCAGCAGCTCAACATGACCTCCAACCAAGCCGTCTCGGGGCTCAAAAAGGGAGACATGATCCGCACCATCGCCGGCCGGACCTTTGCGCGCAGAGTTGTCGACGCCCTCGAGGCCAACGGCAACTTCGCCGGCTACTCCAACAAGATGACCCTCCTCTTCAGCTCCCAGGAACCTTTTCTCTCCTTCTTCTCCCTCGCGGGACTCCAGAAGCCGAACCAGACGCTCTCCACGACCCCCTTCTGGAGCCTCCCCGAAAACGGCGCCGCCATGGTCTTTGAGCTCGTCGGCGACCAGCCCAACGAGCCAGACACCTATCCGACCGAGGAGAACCTCTACGTCCGCTTCCTCTACCGCGAGAACGCCGATCCCGGCACTCCCTTCCTCGAGTATCCCCTCTTCGGCCTCGCCGAGGGCGACACCCGCGTGACGTACAGCTACTTCAAGCAGGAGATGTCCAAGTTCGGCATCGACACGGCGACGTGGTGTAGCATCTGCGGCTCGATCCAATCGTTTTGCGACTGGCAGACCACAAAGACGACGCCGACCGTCGGCGAGGCCATCCGCTCGGCTGTGCAGAAGCCCGTTGTCGCGGGTATCATTGGCGCCATCATCGTCCTCGCCGTCTTAGGCCTGGTCGTTGTCTCGGGGGCTGTTCTTGGTGGTTTCCGGATTCATCGTGGCGGAGCAGGAGGAGGAAAGGACGGCAATGGCCGGATCGCCGGGCTTGGCGGGTTCCGGGCCGCTGAAAAGATGGCTAGTGACCCGGACCTGGCTGTCTCTGGGCGCGGGGTGCGACACGAGCGCCAGGGGAGCTGGGAGCTGCGTAACGGACGGGAGGTCTCGGGAGGCGATGGCCAAGCGGGTATCGCTGTGGACAAGAGTGCGTCGACGTTCCAGGCGAAGCCTGTTGATGATGATGCCATTAGTGTCATGGGGGCTTCGCCTGTGAAGCCCAGAGAGAGCGTCTGATTGAAGGGTACAGTAGACGGGCTTTTTTATGGTGGGATGATGGGATATGGACTCTCTTCTGGCTTTCGTTTATGATACCCTTTTTTTTGATACCCTTCTTCACGGTCACTTGCTGGAACATTCTTTGCATGGATACAGGCTTTCTCTTTCTCCATAGTCTAGGGCATCGTGGGTACATATACTCATCTTTTGATTTAAAGTTTCCAGTCTTTGCAGAATGGCATCACTGAAGAGCGTGAAATATACGCCACAAGGATCAACAATACTCAGAGACACCCACAGTGCTCCGTACAGTGCCATACCCACAAAAGAAACTGTACAACCAACCCCACCGCAGTGACCTTCCATCCAAACCCCGCCATCACCGCCAAAACTACAATTCCTCTCGACGCGACACGCGAACCTCTTCCTTAAACCTCCAAAGACACCGAGTCACCAAACAACATGTCGTCACATCAGCGGACTTTCTCCCACTCGCAATCCCAATCCGGAACGAGGGAAAAGACCTATTTTGAGCAACAGCGCGAAGAGCTCATCGGCGAAATCGCAATGGTAAGCCCCCCCCCCCCCTGGTTCCCCCGAGCGATGATGCAGTCAAACAAAAACAAACAATTTGAGAAATGCTAACGGGAAACCCAGAACTTTGAGCAAGTCCTTGCCAACATCAACAAGCTCAATCGTTCGCTCGAGGCAGTCATCACGGTAGGCAGTCTCCCCCTCTCCTCCCCTTTCGAATACGCTGGCTCTTAGAACTCGGACACTAATTCGAGGCGGTCGTCACCCGCATCGCAGGTCGGAAACGAGTTCTCCTCCGTCGAGGCGCTGTGGTCGCAGTTTGAAAACGTGATGGCGAAAGAGCCCGAGGAAAACAAGCAGGGCGATACCGAGGAGGGCAGCGACGACGAGGCGAAGAACGAGCAGAGATCATGATACCCACCAGCAACGAAATACCTACTTTGATTTGAACGATGACATTTTTCCTACACGCGCGGCGTTACCATGCCATTTTTCTACGTTGCCAGGCTCATCTCATCATAAGGTACTCGGCCGTCGTCACCCCGCGATAAGAAGCACCCAAACGCCCAGTCGCCTTAGCCTTGTTCACCACCTTGCGCCTGCTCTCCGCGTCCGGCTTCTTCGCAAGGTCGCATAACCCACCCACCAAATCGCCATAATTCGACTCTCTCAGCTTCTCTAACCCCTCAGCGACAGCAAGACACCTCTCTCCTCCCTCTGTCAGCGCTCTAACCCGTCTCTGCAAATCGACGCTGAGATCTCCGTGCTTCACCAGGAACAACTGCTCGAGCGAAGCCGCCATGATCTCTAAGCGGACCTCGTCCATCTCGTTCCCGGGTTTCCTGGCGTCGCGGTCGTCTTTAAGGTGCTGGAGCTGTTCAACAAGATGGCCAAGATCATCTTCTGTGGGGTTATGTGCGTAGTCTTCCGATTCCGAGGGCAGCGTCACCATCGGCTCCATCTCGAATCTCATCTCCTCGACGGTGGTATCTTGATCGCCTGTCGCAGCAGTAGACGCACTTTCGACAGGACTGTCCCCGTGTCCATCAGGAACCGGCCCGCTACTGCTGTCGCTGCTCATAGCAGACATCCGCGCCTCAACGCACTCCAACTCGTCCCTCAGAATTCTCTCCCGCCACCCAAGCACCTTCCACCTTACCCTCTCCCGTTCAAACTCATCTTTTGCCTCACCAACAACTCCAGCCAGTCTCTTCACATCCTTGCCTAGACCATCCGCCGTCCTGCAAAGCCCAGAAAACGCATCGGCAACCCGGAGATGCGTCATACCGACAGTCTTGGACGTCTCCTGCACAACACAGATATGCCTCCTCAGCAGATCCCTCTTCTTCCGCCCTTTACACGGGAAACACCTCTCTAAACCCGTCTTCTTGGCAGCGCGTTGCGCCAAACTAATGAGAAGCTTCTCGACGTCTCCGGCGGCGGCTCGGCACTCTGCCTCTGAGTTGATGTAAGGCTCGCTGCGCACCTCATCTTCCAACTTGGCGAGCGCGTCGTTGAGCTTGGCAACCTGAGCATAAAGGCTTGCGACGTCGACGGATGATGGTAATTCGAGATGTCCGGGATTTAGGCTTAAATCTGGGCTTGGGCTTGGATTTGGGTTTGGGTTTGAGTTGCCAACGTTGCTCTCGGTTCGGATCAGTGTGGTGGGTCGCCCGTCGTTGGTGTGATGCGCGAGATCACCTTCTCGCGGGAGATCGGCGATCAGAACCTGGCGTGCCTGGGCAGAAGAGTCCATGGTGCGTAACGATCGGCTGGTGTCAATTTATTGCAAACCGGATGAATCGATTATTTTTTTTTATCTAGGATTTGGTTTTGTAGTCGAATTGATGAAGAAGTGCATCCCACTCTAGAGAATCCCATTCATATCAGTCCCCCAACGGACCTTTCTCCGATCCCTCGTTGGACTCAATTTCAACCCTACCTTGCTAGCCGTACGAAGTTTTGTCTCTCATGAACTGCTGAGCCACGGCACTGGGAAACTTGAAAATTTTGGCAGAGGACAGCGTTCTTCACTTTCATCTGACACATCACTTATGGCACAACGTAACAATTGATTTGATGCTTTTAACATTTCATGTTTCCTATCCCTCGGGAATGCCCTATCAAGACAGAAAACCCCATGCTGCTACAGGAGAGGAAAAAGAGAAAGGAAAATAAGAAAATAAGAAAAATTACCCCTCAAGGTGCAAGAGGTTACCTGATGGTTACAGAAAAAAACTGATCAAAGTCTCCCCTGTACCCGCTCCGTTTGTGTGTGTGTTGGCGTTTGTTTGGCGTAAAAAAATAAAGGGTATGGTTGAGTCTAGAGACTCGGATGAGAAAACCACTCACTTTCCCTCCCACTCCCTTTGTTTCGTTTCCCACTTATATACCATTCGTTCTTCTTCATCAAACAACAAGAAGAAAATCTCTCTCCCAACATCCCTTGTAGAGGGAAAACTTTCGTCTCCGGTCTAGAGTTCATCCAGCCCTAGAGCAGGAGACGCCCCCCTTCGCTAATGGTGGCGCATGCTTTCTCCAGATCGTAATAGTAGCAGGTCGTGACGAGATCATGCAGATAAAACAAAAAGTCATTCATTACGCCCTCCGCCGGTGTCCAATGCCTCTTCGTTACAACCCCGAGGTCCTCAGTAGGAACCTCACAGAATCTTGCAATTCCTCTTCTTCTTCTTCTTAAGAGCGACGCCAGGAAAACCTGCGCTGCTTCCAGGTGGACCACTGGGTGTTGACGGGGAGGCGGCAGCTTGAGCTTCCTGGTTTTTCCGATCATTGGCGACGACCGTCAGGATGGCCTGTTCAAAGATCTCGTCCACGCCAGTCATCTCCTTGCTGCTGCACTCTACGTACTGAGCACCCATCTTGCGGGCAACGGCGCGGCCCTGCTCCTGGGTCACGGGCGTGAGACCTTGTGTCTTGAGCATGTCGATGCACGTTTTCTTGAAGCGGAGATCGGACTTGAGGCCCACGAGAACCAGAGGAGTGTAGGGACAGAAGTGGAGGACTTCGGGGTACCACTGGCAGGAGAAGAAATTAGCATTAGTGCTAAATGGCGTTGCCCCAAAAAAGGAGGGGCATGTTATCTGAGGGGCGGTGGTTAAATTACCTTGTCCATGACGTTTTCAAGCGAGTTTGGGCAGTCAATCGCAAAACACACAAAGATCAAGTCGGTCTCGGGGTAAGAGAGCGGTCGCAGTCGGTCGTATTCCTCCTGGCCTGCCGTGTCCCATAGCGCCAATTCCACTGTTTTGCCGGACGGTGGGTGCGTTGGGTAGGTGATGTAGTTCTCGAACACAGTGGGGACGTATTTCTGTTGTCGCCAGAGTCAGCATTGTTTTGGCTCATTTCGCTCCCCAGCGACAATCAAATGACGCAAATGTTGCGCTCGAAAGGAGTCGAAATTTGTGTTTTTTTTTTTCTCTGTGTAGATACTCACCTCTGGAAAGTAGCCTTGGCTGTAACTGATGAGCAGACATGTCTTGCCGCAGCCGCCGTCGCCAACGACGACAATCTTCTTGGAATAGGCAGGACCTTCGGTGACGTGGGTTGCGGCGCTCTCGCGGCCTGTTGAAGAGCTCATTGTGGTGCTGACGGTGCCGTCGCTACTCCTAAGGCGCGTGTTGCGGCGGGAAGTAGCCGGGCGGCCGTCGTCGTACTTTTCGCTAATGTTCTGAGACGAGTTGTGGTATGAGTTGCGGTATTGGTATGAGGACGCCATAGTGCGGCAGACTCGAGCTGTGTTTGAGGTGCTATGATGCGATGACGAGGGAGGTCGTTTCGCGGCGTGGCCCCTCGTGCGTGTTTGCGAGATGGGTTGATGTGATGATGGGTAAGATAGATACCGGGGGCCGGTGCGTGCGCTCGTCTGGGGGTGGAAGGGGGGGGGGGTTGTTGGGGAGACTTGAGTGGTTTGTGCTTTTATGCGATGTTTCCCGGGTTGTGTGTATGCTGCTTGTTTCTTGTTGCGATGGAGGAATACTGCCGATATTGATATCGCCGCTTCTCCTCGAATGAGCCTCCTCGCTTCGTGTTCAGCTACTTGCCGTGTTCAGTCGAATGCCGTTGAGATATGGTTAAGTGTGAGGAATGCAATACGGGGAAGAGACGTTGGCACGTTGCGGCGTTTTGGAGTTGAGGAATGTTGAAAAAGGTGCTTGGTCTGGCTTGGGATGGTGTATTGTATGGGGGTGGGTTTGTGTGCGAGGTGGATGGGCGGGTTGTGCTGTGTTCTTGAGGAGAAGGAGCGGGAGCAAGGAGGGCAATTGTAAACAAGTCGACGGGGCAACCAGCCACTTCTTGCCGGGGTGATGACGGCAGGCGCCAGAGGAGCCACAACGACAACGCAAAAGTGGATCCGACGAAAGCGCGCTAAGGCGGATCAATCGAACCCCTGGCTGTGGCCTGGCCAAGGAAGGTTCCCCCCTGCAGTCTGAAAGCGGACAGCTCCCGTCAGAGTTTTTCCGGTGCCCTTCCCTTCGCCGGCGGGACTACGGGACGAGAGATAGGTGGCCCAAGCTCCAACCCCACCACAGCCTCCCTCAAAACCGCGACATGAATTTTTCAGTCATCCCCTTCCGTCTTCAACGAACGCGTCGTCGACCTTCATCGAAGGCTCATATTTCGCCACGAGCATCACCGCTGTGACTTGCGAATCAATCAGAGACACGGAACCTCCGACACACGGAAGCCACCATTCCAATCTTCAGCAGTCTGTCTAGTCAGCTCTCAGAAGACGAACACGCAGCATATCTCAACTGTCCGCAATCATGGATCCCAATGGCACAACCGACAGCAAGTACGTGACTCTGGTCTCGAGTGATGGCTATGAGTTCGTCGTCTTGCGGGACGCCGCCATGATCAGCCCTGCCATCAAAGGCATGTTGGACACACGCAACAACTTCCGCGAGGCTGCTTTGGGTCGCTGCGTGTTTGAAGAGATCAGGTAAGCCCGCATAACCAATCCAGCGCTCTCACTGCCACCTCTCTCTCTCTCTACGACTGTTGCGATGATGAACTCCGATTATATCCATGAGTTTCACTGACAGACCACCGCTCCAACGGCTGGTCTGCTTGATTGCCCAACTACACTTGATCTGAAACCGGCAACATTCTTTCTTTTTCCTCCCATTACTTGTTTCCCAGCCACCTCACAAGGCTAATCCTCATTCCTTTTTGTTCCTCTTTTTCCAAAAAGTTCTGGAAACGTCTGACCGTCTTCTTTCTCGGCAGTGGCGTTGTGCTTGAGAAAGTCTGCGAGTATTTCCAATACTGGTACCGCTACCGTGAGCGGGAGGACGTTCCTGACATGGACATTCCTGTCGAGCTGTGCCTGGAACTACTGGTCGCAGCCGACTTCCTGGGCCTGGATAGTAAGACATCCCCAACCTCCTCTGATCCCAGAGCGACGGCATCTGTCTCACGGAAACCACCCAGCCGTTCTGACACGTTTTTCACAGAGCAAAATACCGGCACTGTCTGAATGACGTTTGGTGACTCTTTGCATTCTGGCTTCATTACTTTCATGACGGAGTTTGGGGCGTTGAGCGTTCAGGGCGGTACAACCGGACAAGATACCATTGCCATGACACTATGACGAAATCCCATGCCGAGAGGGCATGTTTCCTGTTTCCCATGATCCTTTCTCGACGGTGACCCACGCTATCACCCCACATGTGAAAAACCCAACCCCCATCTTAGCATATGCGTTCCTCCCCTCACTCTTCCGTGGGTTGAACGTCTATTAAAGATGGAAGAAGAACTATATTCCACTCACTCTGCTCGACTCAACTTTCTACCATTGAGATCTACGCTTTTTCTGTTGGGATACAGATCAACCACAGCATACACATACCTGCACACTCACATAGCTCAATAAACCAAATTCTTTACGTCTTTGATAAATGCCCCTCACATCATGTGAAGCCTTGTTTTGGATTGTCCTTACAGGCGTCTTGCAACTTCCAGACTACTCCAGGCGGAAGCTCGCACCTGTGACCTTTTTACCATGAAATTTGCAATGAATTGTATACATCCACTTTCAACAAAACTCAGTTCCAACCTCTGCCTCTGCCACGGCCCCTACCCCGGCCCCTACCACCACGTCCACCACCGCGTCCACCACCACCACCCCTATGAAAGCCCCGACCACCACCGCCACGGTGTCCCCTGAACTCCCCAGCCGGCGGGCCCCTCGCCTTCCTCTCCATCCTCTCCTCCTCGCTAGCATCCCACAGGTTCCCAACCTCCAAGAGCGCGCAGTACGCCGACGTCTGCGGGTTGGTATACTCAAACGGCTGCTGCGGCACAGACTCGGGCTCGCCCTCTACGTGGGGCGGCGCCGTGATCTCAAAGTTGAGCGGGACGTCGAGCCTGCCCTTGTCGACGATGTTCTCCTCGACCCACCGGCGCTCGGCGTCGATGAGCGGCACGTAGTGCTCCTCGCCCAGGTCCGGGCTCGGCTGGCGGGCCGCTTCGTCGCCGATGACGAGCGTGGAGTGGAAGACGCGCGTGATGGCGAGCCATTCCGGGTCGTACTGTAGGCGGAAAGGCCGCGTCGGGGCCGGTTGGTCGGCGGGCAGGATGTTGTGGGGGCGCGCTTCGAGGAGCTGGAGGAAGTGGCGGCGCGGGAGGCACTTGTCGAGGGCGAGGAAGTTGACCTGCTTGTTTGTGATTGTTGGCGGGACGGGCTGGCCTGGTGTCCTTTTGGGCTGGGGCTTGGGTCTGGCGAAGGAGGCGGGAAGTTGGGCACGGATGTCCTCGGGGACAGAGGTTTTGGTGTTGGGGGCTTCTTCTTTTACTTCGATGTTGGGCTTTGTTTGTGTGGGTGCGGTAGCCTGTTCGTCTTCGTCATCATCGTCGAGATCGATTTCGTTGGGATTCGTTTGTGCTGGCGCCGGAAGTGCAGAAGCGTCCGTAATTTCTTCGTCTCCATCCAGGTCGATCTCATCTGGATTATCCGGTGCTTCAACCGGCTCGTGTGCCGCAGCCGGAGCCGTAGCTGGGGCCGGGGCTCCCTCTGCTGCCTCCTTCGTAGTTGCCTCCTCATCCTTGTAAATCTTCAACGCCGCAAACTTGCAGTGCAAGTGCGCTGAGAACCAATACGGTGGCCTGAGCCGATCGCAAACATACTCCGCCGCGACATTGCCCAGCGTGCCATCCATCGACTCCCTCTCGAAATCCGGCTTCATCCTCCACAGCGCCTTCTCGTCACCCCACCTCTCGATCGCCCGCGGCCAGTCGTGGCTGATACCGACATCAACCTGCTCCCTCAACAGCAGCAGCTTCCTCACGTCCACCTCCCTGACGTGGTAGAAGCTCTTAATCTCGTCCGGGCCCATGGGCAGCCGCTCGTGGTGGCCCTTGCGGTAGTCGAAGCCCTTCCAGATGCCGCTCATGCCCGCGATGCGCAGCGGGCCCAGGCGCAGGACGTTGGCGGCGCCGAGGTAGTAGATGTTGGGCGCGGCCCAGCCGCCGTAAAAGAGCTCCCACATATGGCTTGCGGCCTCGTGGTTGCCGCCCGCGAAGACGGTCAGGTACGGCGCGGTGCGGCGGCCGGCGTAGTACTCCCAGAAATCGCCGAGTTCGCGGTACTTTGCGGGGACGGACATGACGGTCAGGTCGGCGGCGTTGCGGGCGGCTTGGAAGTCGCCGCCGATGATGAGGAGGTCAACGCCGTCCCAGCCGCGGGCCGCGCAGGAGGCCTCGACGGCTGCGTAGATGGCGTTGAGGGTGCCGTGGCCCTGTCGAGATTGTCAGTGGGAGCACCATTGTGGGTAAGATGGGGTCCATTGGAAGGCTTACGCATCCCTCAACGGCGATTCGAACGCCGTTGGTCTCGAATGTTTGTGTGGCCATTTTTGGGTGGTTACTGGGGGTGTGGTTGTTGTAGGGCGGAGGTTGATTGAGGTTCAGTTGTACCCGCGAAATTTTCATATCAGCATAAGGACACTGGATGATGCTGAATTGGAGTTCATGAGCTTCAAAACAATCATCAAGCGACTCTCAGACGAATTAATTGAGAGTTAACCATTGAACTAGAAAGAAGATTTTCTGTCTGACACAATAACATTTTTCGCACCGTTCATTTCTCACCCTTCGTCGTGATTTCAGTTCATCAAGCCAATATTTTCTGTGCACCTCAGGTGAAGGCACAGATCAAATAACGAGGGTAAGATCGCTGTACTCAACATCGATTAATCTAGCTATGCATGCAAATAAGAAGCTTCGACTCGCCAACAATAATCTCTCATAAATATCACTTAATGAGCGCGTACTGACTCAAGGCGTCGATTGTCCACGTCTCGAATATATCTTCATAACTCACATCTTGTCCACCAAGTCCAAATTCGTTACTTCATCTTACCTCGTTGTCTATCGTCATTCTCAGACTGTTGTTCGTGATCCAGCAATGTTTACAAGCTGAATACTCCTCTTAATCAACAAACAACACGAAAACGTCCAAATTCAGTCTCAGAGACATCAAGTGTTCGCACGGCGTTCGTTCGATTGTATTCAGGACCAAGGGTTGATCTCAGATGATACGAAACATTGGATTTAACATGTGCAATGGAGACTAGAATGAGATTATGAGACTCAGAATAAACAGCTTGGTACAAGAGAAACAAAGAGGCCAGTGCTCCCATCCCCCGGATTTTTTGGGTTGCATCGCCAGGCGGTACCTTACAGTGGACCCGATGATTTTCCGACAGCCTCACACCACTGAAGCAACCTCAGGTGCACTGTGCCCGCCTAAAAATTGGCCCCAATTGAGAAACGGAGGAGCCTCGCGCATCGCAGCCTCGACTCCCACGCAAACTTCCCCCCATCTACACATTACATGGGCTGTATCTCACCCTCAAATCGCCCACCATGAGCGTATGCAACCCCCGTCCCCCCTTCATTTTCGACACTCTCTAGGATAAAATGAGCTAACCAACCCTTTTTCCTCTTGCAGTTCGTGCCCATTAACCCGCGGCCTATGCTGCAAGACCTGTATGTCCTCATACCGTCCCACGAACGCGCCTCTCTAACGGCATCTGCAATCACCTACCCCCTTCCGCAATAGACAAATCTTCTCCAGCGTGCTAACAATGTTTTTTTCGCTGCGCAGTGTCAACCAGGACGTCGTCATCAGACTCAAGTGGGGCGAGACCGAGTACAAAGGAAAGCTGGTCAGCATCGACAGCTACATGAACGTCCAGCTTAGCGGCGCCGAGGAGTACATTGATCAGAAGATGACGGGAGCTTTGGGCCAGGTTTTGATCCGGTACGCGACCATTCGTTCGACGACACACGAACCCCCCTGCTCCCTCTCGCCACCTACGATAACCGCTGACTGAACGCGCTACAGGTGTAACAACGTCCTCTGGATCCGCGGCGCGAAACAAGGCGAGAACGGCGACGTCAAGATGGAAGGTTGAGCGGGAGGATCCCCCTCCTCCACGACGAGCGGAAAGACCACGAAGCGGAAAGACATGGACACAACCTGGGAAACCGCCCCCACGTACTTTGGTTTCGACTGGGAGATCAGGATGGTGGGAAGGGATACGATTTTCACGATGAGCTTGGAGCAATAGAACATCAAAGAAGGAACCCCCCAAAAAGCTGGCGACGGAACGGAATTTGCAGTTTTCCCCCAAGTCAGGTTGAATACCGCCAGGTCGTGCTGCGCAAGAAAGAAACCATCTACCTCCCCTCTTTCGCAGCAACTATAGAAGAAGAAGAAGAAAAAGGGGCGCACACTATTGTCGGCGCCTCCAGTGCCCTCCCCCTTATGTTATGGCGCTCCTTATTTTTTTTCGCAGATACTTACATAAGACAAGCAACCTTGCGACTACTGCAGAGATCCGACGATGCTACCTTGATGCGCTGTGTCTCGCTCACCCATGTGTACGCCTCGATGAGCCACTCGTACCACACCCGCGAATCGTCCGTCTGTCGCCACATCGTGACCTCCAGTTCAGTGTCGGCAGGGTAGTAGATCGGTTGCTGTGAATGTCAGTGAAATTTGTTCATATTGCACCAGGGAATTTGAGCGCTTTTTTTTCGCTTACCTTGATGGGGAAGAAGATGGGGAACCACGAGATCATGTCCTTGCTCTTGCGGTCAATCAGCTCGGGATGCGTGCTGATTTCCACCTTTTCTCTGTCACCGGTCTGGGGCGCGTAGAGGACGGACTCAAAGTATCCAGCCAAACCGTGGATGACACCCCTCGTGGGGCAGACGAACGTAAGGTGGCAGAAGCGCGAGTTGTGGTCGTTGGCACCGACGGCACCCGCCATGCTGCCGCCCCCGCCGCCCATGACGCCACCGGCACGTCTCGTCTCGATCTGCTTCAGTGTGGCCTCGGAGACCGGGTGGGAGAACTCCCACGCCTGCTGGAAACGCGGGTGGCCCGGCACGCGCATGGCGGCGAAGTCGAGGGCGAAGAGGCGCACCACCCAGGGGGTGTCGAACGCGTTGGGCTCCGTGGGGACCCTGGTGAGGAGGTCGGCGTGGATGCGCGGTGTCGCGATGGGGCTCATGTGCGCCGTGTAGGACTCGGGGATCGAGATGCCGCCGGGCGCCAGGACGTGCTGGACGCCGTCGAGGCACTCTGGCGAGAGCTCGTTGTCTGCGAAGGAGCCGAGCAGCTCGGATACCAGAATGTCCACCTTGCCGTAGACCGGGTTGTTTTCGGGGGTGCCCGAGACGAGGGGACCCTTCCAGGCGCGCATGTCTGTCTTGACGACGGTGACCTTGCCGCCCCAGATCATCTCGTTCTGTCGAAGGAGGTAGACGTATGCGTTAGGGTTCTTCTCAACCGCCCAGACTTGGACGGGGACGCCGGTCGCCTCGCTGGCCTTTAGGGCTCTCGTCACGAGAGGGCCGCGGCCAGAGCCGACGACGGCAATGACAACGGCGCCGTCCTTAGAAGAGGTGGCTCTACCCAGCTGGTGCCACTCGGCCAGGGCCTCCGTGCAAGCAGCCTCGTACTGGTTGTACTTGACCGGGTCGCCCTCAAACACCTCATACGTGGCCGACTCCAGGTTGTCGGACAGAGGCTGTAGGGGCGACTGAAGCCAGTCCTGGAAGCTGGTGAGCGTGGTCTGCTCCAGGTACGACAACGGGCGCTGCTGCATCTCGAGCCACTTGAGGTACACCACGTAGGTGCGGAACGACTTGAGGGAGTCCGTGGCGAGGGTGGGAGTTTCGCCCAGAGGAGGGAAGTCTGCGGAGGTGGGGACCTGGTTACCAAGACTGACGGCCTGGAGCTGTGCCTCAGCCGTCAGCGAGGCGGTATCCGGACCGACGTCGCTAAGAAGCAGCCAGGGCGCGTTCTTGAGGCGCATGTAGTGGAAGATCATGTCCTGATGGGCCTTGGGCAGGGCAGGGTGTCCTGTCTTGTTCTTGGAGAATGCGTTTCCGCCGAGAGACAGGAAGTGCAAGGGCTCGGCGAACCACTTCTCTTGGAGAGACTTCTCAGGCAGAGCTCTGGGGACGCGAATGGCTGTTGATGCTGATCAGTGTCTACTTCTGGGGTAACAGACTGAGGAAGATATCTTACCAACATAAAGACGCATGCTGTATTCGCAGACTGAGCGGACAGTGTGCCAAGAGTCCCATGCGCTGTAGATGTCGATATCCTTGCTGTTCTCGGGGTGAGGCACCTCTGACAAAGTCGACAGGAGCTCTACGCTCTCCTCCAGGCCCGGTTCCCGGTACATGGGGATGTGGATGATGAAGTTGAGGCGCGACGCAATGGTCATGGCCTCCTGCACAGCTCTGGCATATTGGGACAGACCCTGGTTTCCGCCATTCTTGGAGGCGTCTCTCCTGGGGCCGGGAATAATGATGCTTCGGACACCGCAAAAGTTGGCGTAGGCGATCTCGAGGTTCAGGACCTGTCGAGAAATGCTGGCAACGGCAGGATCGACCGAGGCCAAGTCGATCCAGGGACTGGCGTAGGCGATGTAAGTGGTGACGGCATGGCTGGGGAAGAGGGAGGTGTCCTTGGGGGTCAAAGGAGGCACGACAGCATCCGCCAGTGAAGCGAGTCCCTTCTTTGCCTTGGCGAGATGCTGGGAAACAAGGTCCTTTACCCGTGCATGGAAGTGCTTGTTGGTGATGGGTGCCGTCACAAAGTTGACCTAAAGTCAAAGCTTAGTGAGTGACAATTGAAAATACAAGAAATTGAGGTCTCAGAAATGGACTTACACCAGCGTTCAGAATCTGGCCATACTGAAGATCATCAAGAGGCTGATCCCTCTCAGAATCATGCTGACCAAGGCTGAAAATGGGCCGGATTTGGTTGAAATTGCTGCCGTCCATGCTGGGTGTTGAGACGATTCAGGCTGTAGTCCCTTGTGCTGCCTAAAGAGGACTTGTGAATGGTGTAATTGCTCAGCGCACAAATACCCCACGCGATGGTTGTGCAAAAAGCGGTTACCTGCTGCTCAGGACCCTGGCGCTTCGGTAAAAAAGAGGATGTGGGAAGGGGGAATGAGACGATTTGTGGTCAGCAAATCATTCTTGGTAGGTTGTTTGTGCTCAGGAAAACGATGGGCTGAGAGATCACAGAAGTTGCACTCGGAGCAGTTGCAACCTGATGTTGTGTGGTTTGAGAAGTCAGGCTGTTGGTTACCCCCCCAAGTAGTTAAAAAAGCACCAGATTTTGCGAGATGCGACCCGGTGCCATTGGTTGCACTCTGGACCCTGAAGAGAGTGTGAGAGGAGACAGTGCCCGCTGTCAGGAAAGTATACTTTGCAAGCCTTCATCTTAGTCTATTCGATGAGAGGAGGAGACACCTTGTCTGAGAACAAAACTTTTACTATCTTTACTAAGAGTGAGAGCTATGAAATGCCGGATACTTTTGAGACGAGTTTGAATGAGTTCCAGAAAATTATAAGGGAATCCATAGTATGTCTATAGCCACGTAAGGTCTCACGCTCGTAGACACTTCAATGTCTCATAACCAGTGTGTTGGATCTTTCGTACGGTAAGGTACCTACGTCCAATGCCTGAGTTTAGCTTATCTTATCATCCCACCTTCTTATTGGCCCGTGCTCATACCCACCCAAATTTTTCCCGCGACAACAAAAAGTTTCTGGGAGCCTCGCTTGGAGTCGTCTCCCGAGTTTGTCCTCGTCGACGTCGAATCCACGGGCCGCAACCTCAATCAAACATCTCTCTCAACCCCTTTCCCGTCCACCACCCCTCCGTATCGAAACGGGGAATTTTCGACCAAAATGGCCGACTTCGAGGATAAGGGATCAAAGCGCCTGAGCGCCGACAGAGAAGGAAGCAGGAAGAAGGTCAAGAAGGAGGAAGAGGACGAGTCCAAGTACAACCCCTACTTGGCGCATATGAAGGAGGAGAACGGCGTCAAGTCCGAAGAGGGCACCATTGATGCCAGCTCGCCGTTTTACGGTTTCAAGCAACGCGCCACAACTTCGAAGCAGCACGAGAAGATCGAAGACCTCGACGACAACGCCTTCACTGGTCGTCCTCACTCGCAAAAGTACTTCCAGATCCTGGAAGCGCGTCGCGATCTTCCCGTCACGAAGCAAAGGTACGCCTGTTTCGGAGCTTCCTCTAACAGGCTTTTCATCGTACTGACCACCTTGCCAACAGAGAAGAGTTCCTCGAGAAGTACCACTCTACCCAAATCCTCGTCTTCGTCGGTGAAACCGGTTCCGGAAAGACGACCCAGATTCCCCAATATGTCGTATTTGACGAGCTCCCTCAGCTCAACCGCAAGATGGTTGCCTGCACTCAGCCTCGTCGTGTTGCCGCCATGTCCGTCGCACAGCGTGTTGCCGACGAGATGGACGTTAATCTTGGCGAGGAGGTCGGATACAGCATTCGTTTCGAGGACAGAACCAGCCCCAACACGATCCTCAAGTACATGACCGACGGTATGCTTCTCCGAGAAGCCATCCACGACCACGAGATGTCGCGTTACAGCTGCATTATTCTCGACGAGGCCCACGAACGTACTCTCGCTACCGATATCCTGATGGCCCTGCTCAAGCAGATCGCCGCCCGCCGCCCCGACCTCAAGATCGTGGTCATGTCCGCCACTCTCGATGCGCAAAAGTTCCAGCGCTACTTCAACGATGCGCCGCTTCTCGCCGTTCCCGGTCGTACGCACCCCGTCGAGATTTTCTACACCCCCGAGCCCGAGAGGGACTATGTCGAGGCTGCCATTCGAACAGTGTTGCAGATTCATGCCTCCGAAGGGGAGGGCGATATTCTACTGTTCTTGACCGGTGAGGAGGAGATTGAGGATGCCTGCCGGAAGATCTCTCTCGAGGCCGATGAGATGACACGAGAAATTGACGCCGGCCCGTTGGTGGTTTACCCGCTCTATGGTACTCTGCCACCTCACCAGCAGCAAAAGATCTTCGACAAGGCTCCGACTCCGTACAAGAAGGGCGG